TGCTGGGAATCAAGGTCCGATCCTCATCTGCTTACCACCCGCAGACAGACGGGCAAACGGAGCCTGCGAATATGGAGGTTGAGCAATACCTTCGAACATTCTGCAACTTCCAGCAGAGTGACTGGTCCGACTGGCTTTCCCTAGCGGAATTCGCGTTCAACGATAAAGTTAACTCCTCAACGGGGTTCTCGCCCTTCTTCCTCACGCTGGGATTCCACCCGAGAAAGGGGTCCGAAGCCCCGCAAGAGGTCCCGACTGAAGCCGCAACGGTGTTTGCCGAACGGATGAAGGAAGCGCGGGCCGATGTGGCCGAAGCTATGAAGGAAGCCCAAGAAACGATGAAGAAGTACTACGATCGGAAGCGCTCCCCGGACCCGAATTACGCCGAAGGGGACAAAGTTTACCTCCAGGGAACGAACCTGACCAGCGATCGGCCCTCAAAGAAGCTGGATGACAAAAGATTCGGGCCGTTCGAAGTCAAGCGCAAAGTCGGTAAAACATCCTACGAACTGATACTGCCCCCAACTTGGCGCGTGAGCCCCGTGTTCCACACGGCGCTATTACGCCCCTGGAACGCCCCAGTAGCGGACCATCAGCGGGCCGCGCCGCCACCCCCGGCCGAGATGTGGGACGGCGAGCCTCACTACGAAGTCGATGCCATTTCCCTCATACGGCAAACAAGGCCGCCACCGCCTGAAGTACTTGGTTCAATGGAAAGGCTACCCTCGGGAAGAGTGGATGTGGGAATTACGGGACAAACTCGAAGGCGCAGAAGAGGCACTCGAGGACTTCTATGCTCTTAACCCATTCGCGCCCCGTGAAGAACTCGTAAATAGACGATGGAAGATCCGAAAGGAAGATCCGAAAGGAAGATCAGGCAACGCGGACCCATAAGGCGTCGAGGCGCCGCCCACAACAGGGGGGGGGGTGATGTCACGGTTCGGGTCGGGCCGCCCGGGCCACGAGGCCGCCCGGGCCCGCATACCGCCGTACTCCTCGACGCTCCCCGTTCTTCCAACCCCTTCCCTTCACCCCTGCGACCCTACGCAGCGCCCATCAGATCTGCCCTGGGACCTGGCGCCCATTCGATCTATCCCTAATATCGTAGTGTATAAAAGCCGTACTTACAAGCTGTAGTCGCTAGGCTAATATCGTCTATTCTCCAGGTGAATACCCATCTCTCGTGCTCCTCAGACCCTCTCGAAGTCGGACCCCCGACGCCCCGATACGGCCCGAGCCCGACGTTGACAATCACTATATCTGATAAATGATTATTAGGTGGTATAGGTATACCAATAACATTCTATTGTCAGGGATATAGATCCTATCATTCACATATCCCTGGTAGTGCTTCAATCACCTATGTCAGTTGTCCTGTCAGTGAGATATCACTGCATCAGTCATAGATCACTTAATGATTGGCCAGTGCTAGCAGAACTATAGATCACTTAATGAAAGTTGTTTATATAGTCAAAATATACAACTTTTATGTTGTAATAATTTATAATTGTATTATTAGAGAACAAAAAAAAATCTGATTCTGATTTGAAAGAATAAGTGTAGTTGTTAAGTGCTGAATTTGCTTATACAACAAATAAATATATTGCTAATATCCCGGACGACTATCAAATCCAGGGACCATTAACTAACACAAATATTATTTACTTGCCTTGCTTGATATCAATTTTAGTTAAAATGTTTTGTGCCCTGATAGTAGAGGAATGCTCCTGCCCAAATAGCTGTGTGTACTGCTCCAAGACTACTTTTCCAAGTAGCTGAGCCTCAGCATACTTATGTTGACCAATATATACCAAGACCAAATCTGCTTGTGATCTAATGGTATCAAGATGCTCAATCCCAAGCATTTGTATGCGGTGCTTAAGCACTGTTTCTTGGAGAACTTGAGCCTCAGTATACTTGCGTTGACGAAGATATGTGGCAGCTAAGTTTGACTGTGCTGTTAGGGTATCAAGATGCTCAGGCCCAAGTAGCCTTATACGCTGCTCTACCACTGCTTTTCCAAGAGCCTGAGCCTTAGTGTATTTATGTTGGCTGCGATATGTTGCAGCCAAACTTGCTTGCGCTCTAATGGTATCAAGATGATCAGGCCCATATACATTTGTATACTGCTTCAATACTGCTTCCCGAATTATCTGAGCCTCAGCATACTTGCGTTGATGGTGATATGTAAATGCCAAGTTTGCTTGTGCCATAATTGTATCAGGATGCTCAGGGCCTAGTGTATGCATGTACTGCTCCAGAACTGCCTCATCAAGGACTTGAGCCTCAGCATACTTGCCCTGATCACAATATGTTGTAGCTAGGCTTTCTTGGGCAGTAATAGTATTTGCATGCTCCAGCCCTAGCAGATGTGTATATTGCTTTAGAACCACTTCTTTAAGTGCTTGAGCTGCAGTATAATTGCCTTGCTCTCCATATGTATCAGCTAAGCTTTTTTGTGCTTGAATGGTAAAGGGATGTTCAGGTCCTAGCAGATGTATATACTGGTCCAAAACCAATTTTTTGAGAACCTGAGCCTCGGGATACTTGCCTTGATTGTGATATATTGTGGCTAAATTTCGTTGTTTAAGTATAGTCTGAGGATGTGCAGGCCCCAGCAACTGTGTAGACTGCTCTAAAGCCATTTCTCCAAGTCTCTGAGCCTCAGTATACTTGCCTTGATTGCAATAGATAATAGCCAAGTTTCCTCGTGCAGTGATAGTAGCAGGATGCTCAGATCCTAGCAGACGTGTATACTGTTCTAAGGCCAGCTCTGCAAGCACCTGGGCCTCAGTGTGCTTGCCTTGATTGTCATATGTGCTGGCCAGTCTTGCTCGTATAGTAATAGTGTCTAGATGCTCAGGCCCTTTTACATGTGTATTCCACTTTAACACCATTTCTTCAAGTACCTGAGCTTCAGCATATTTGCCTTGATCACCATATGTTATAGCCAAGTTTGTCCGTGCAATCATGGCATCCGGGTGCTCAGATCCCAGCAGCTGTATAGAATGCTCCAATACCCCTTCATCAAGCACAAGTGCCTCAGTATACTGGCCAAGGTTGCCTAGTGTCCCAGCTAATTCTGATTGTGCAGTGATGGTAAAATAATGGCTTGGGCCTAATATTTGTGTGAGTACATCTAAGACTTCTTTCTGGAGTCCATAAGCTTTGGAGTATTTCCCTTGGTTAGAGTATGTCTCTGCTAGCTTAAGCTGCATGCCAATTGTTTCAATATGTTTTACCCCTCTATATCTCTGATATTTACTCAAAACTGTCTCCCTCATTTTTTCTGCATGATTAAACATTCCAGCCATCATATATATTGCTCCCAGCTCAATCTGAAAGCTCACTGGTATTGTTGCCACATTATCCAATCTTTTAGAGTGAATGGCTAACAATAATTGATGCTCTAGATCTGTACAGCTCCCAGCAGCCATTCCTAATATGTTGCCAACCAACTTATGTGTGGCTTCAACATTTTCCATTGTTTCTCTAGTCCACTCATGCACCAGAGGATGCATTGAGTACTTATCTCCTTGTGCTGATATCAAGGAATAGCTTTCAATGTCATGAAAAACCTCTTCAAACTTGTACTTATCCCAATCTCCATCCTCATCAATGAAGTGGGAAAGGAAATTCTTTGCAGATTGTAGCTGCTCTTCAGTAACCTGTTCTAGCTCATCCTTATTGTCTTCCAAAAATTCAAGCTGATACTTTGCTGCCTTTTCAAAGATGTCTGGACTGATTTGATCATGATGCATTAAGCACAATACTTGCATGACTTCTTGTGCATTGCTAGGAAGGGAATCAAAACTGATTCTCCAAGCTGTATATACAGTCTCCTTATAGTCCCAGTTGGCTTGCTTTGGTTTTGTATTCCACAGTTTTCTTTTCTTTTTCCTATACATTTCTAGATAGTCTTCTGGGTTTGATTTTAGCAGCCGGGACTGTTTGACATATGCTGCTGCTTGAACAATAGCTAAGGGAAAGTAGTGCAGTTCCTGTAAATTTTCAGTTCATTGAGTGAATATTATATGTTCTATAACTTACTTCAGAAATCTTCTTAGCCACATCTTCATTATTGGTATCACTTATATGTAAGAACAGATGCAGAGCCTCAGATGAATCTAGGTCAGCAATCTTGATTGACCGTTGACCTGTGTGATTGGCTATATCAGGATTGCGTGATGTGATAAGAATATTTCCATGACTACATTGAGGAAAATGGTCTCTAATGTTAATATTCACATCATCTGCATTGTCAAAGAGCAGCAGCCATTCATCTGTATTTCCAACTAGCTAAGTCTGTACAGCATTGACTGAGCTGTCAAGCTTCTTGATTCTAGCAATCTCCATATAGCCTGTCTGGATGGTAATCTGATCTGTTGCATCAATTTTAAATTGATCTGTGAACCTATACCTACATTAAGACTTAGTTATTATTAATGTTTCTTTAACTTACCTGTCCTTTGCCACATCAATAAACTTGAGAGCAATTTCTGTTTTTCCAGTTCCTCCTAGGCCATAGAGTAGAACACTCTTCCTGTTTTCCCTACTGTTATCTCCAAACAACTCTGCAAGCTTATCTAAAATGCTTTCCCTGCCAATGAAAAAGTCACAGGGGGGAGGGCATCCACGATAAAGTGAGTTGTTTGTATCTGCAGTCAAAATCAGCTATAAGCAACATACAACACCCTCTGAGCCCTACTATATGCAGCACCATAACTAGAGAAATAATAGTCTGAAAATTTGTTGATCTATGTTAGAGGTAGCATACCTCTCAATGTTGACTGAGTTTGCCCTTATTGACAGCATGGGGCCCTGTCCAGCACCACCATTTCCTCCTCTGCCCTCTGCAGGCCCTCCATGCCCTCCTGTCCCACCTACAAAATGTGTTATGACTTTTCCTTCCCTTGAAGTGTGATGGATAGACATACCACTGATTCTCATTTGCACAAGATGTGCATTTACATTGGCAATGTCAGGGGGCAAGCTCATCGATGTTGTGGGGGGAGGCAAGAGACGACACGTAGCTTTACCCACGTTGCACAGCCATTTGGCAGTGTGGTTCTCACGTGTATCCCGCAAGTCGGACGGGTGTCGCGGCCCGCCATAGGCGGCCCGCACGTGGCCCCCGCGAAGCTTCTTTCCTTCGCCGCCACATACAAGGCGTCCGCTGGTCCCAAAACAACTCGCTCGCCTCGAGTTTAACCACTGGCCATTCCTGTTATCACTGGGTTCGACATTCACGGTACTCCCCCTTTTTTGTTGTTCCGCCCGCTGACCCTGGCGACAGACGTGCGCTTCCCGACGTCGCTCGCGGGCGACGGCACGGACGCGATGAACACGGACTGCGACTACTCCTCGGCATATGTCACGCTCCTCACCGACTCCGCCCTGGTGGGCCATGGGATGACGTTCACCATCGGTCGCGGGAACGACATCGTGTGTGCTGCGATTGGCGCGGTCGCGCAGCCTGCCTGGTGGGCAAGGAGAGCGAGGAGTTATTCAAGGATATGGGGAACACATGGGAATACATAATGGCGGACCCGCAGCTGCGCTGGTGTGTCCCATTCTGTTTTTACTTCTGGGTAAGCTGACGACAACCCTCAGGATGGGCCCAGAGGAGGGTGTGATTCATATTGCGTCGGGCGCTCGCGCTGTGGGACGTGTATGCGCGGGCAGGAGATAAGCCATTGTGGGACTTCAAGATTGTGGTGGACTTCAAGTTCACCCGAGAAGAGCTCGTTAGCGCGGCTGCGTGTGGCGGACGCCATTACCAAGGAGGAGGCGCTCGCGAGGCTCGAAGCGGGTAAAAAAAGAGACTCAGGGAGGCAATTGTTAGGGAGCAAGGGTGAGTCTATTGTGATTTTACCTCGCATATGTGACCTCCGCCGGCTGGTTAGGTTCGCCTTCCCTCAGGCTCTTCCCCGCTCACGATACTGACGCTGTTCTCAGGATACACCGACGAGAAAGTTGTGCGACTGGTGAAAGAGGCCCTCTCAGGGCTTTAACCATTGCAAGATGAAGGTCGGGGCCGACCCAGCTGACGACCTTCGCCGCGGAAAACTCATCCGCTCGCTCATCGACAACCCCACGCCGCTGCCTCCAAACCACGCGCCGTCACCGCCAGAGAGCATCGCTGGGAAGAATGCTGGGCCGACCGGCGCGGTGCTCATAATCGACGCGAACCAGATCTGGGACCTGGACCGCAACGTGCTGAGTACACCACGAGCACTTTGCCAATCTTAACAACATTGATATCACACATACAACACAGATATGATAAGTATTATAAAGACTGGTGCTCAGGGAAGATGGTCCATGTAGTTCACCCTGTCTTGTGCTTTCCGTTTCCCAAATGATAATTTCTCTGTCGCCATCCCAGGGAAAGCACCCGTCAAAGCTTCTGTCATAAATGTCATAAAACCGTCGAAGACATGCGCGAAATGAGACCCCGGTGAGTCGTCGCAGACCGCAAACGGGTCTATATAGCCTAGAATACACTCGATCATGTGGATATTGACCGCCGTGTATTGCCCGTCGTGCACTGCGCAGATCTTGAGTTCTGGCGGCGAGCACCAGTCCGGTCTCGGGGTCCGAACATCAAACGCAAAAGACGCTGGCACAAGAACACGGAGTGTGAGGCGTTTAAGCTTTGGGGTAGGGAGTCCCCCGAGGGCACTGACAATATATTCTGGCAATGTGTACTGTTCGTCGGCAGTACTAGTAGTACCTCGAACAAAAGCCAAAGTCAGGCAGGTGAGTTCTGGGAGCATAGGGAGATCTAATGACTCTATCAATGCAACACAGTCAAGTGTGAGAGTCTGTAGTCGATGCAATAGGCCCGAAAAGCCTGTACCAGCAAGGCCGACACGGAATGCAGAAAGAGGTGTTGACAGACGAGTGAGGTGCGGCAGGTCGAAGAGGAATCGATAGGATCGGGAAATTGCGGTGCTAGTAAGTCCAGCTGGAATCATCAGTTCTTCCAACAGCGAGTGCTGCCATACTAGTAGGTCGTTGGTTTGCGCAAATGTGTCGTCAGGGGATAAAATTCCAGTAATGTGGATCAAGGACAAGAGCTTAACGCTATGGGCAATCTGCAGAACGATGTCGCGCGGGAGTGCGGCCACCCGGAGAATATGGCACCTTTGCACCGATGAAGAGGATGAAAAAACATTGCTGAATGCATTGACAATGACTGGGCTGAGTTTATCCCATTGTGATCCATGGAAATCCACTGCGAGCCGTTCGACGATGCAAGGCCCGGGCCCGCGGAAGATGCAGTCGAGTAGGTTGCCCATCGCCTGCTGTCCTTCCGCCGACGCTGGGATATCGATGCTGAGATCACGTATATACGTCCCAATGTGCGGAAACCGTTGCAACAGTGCCAGGCGACGCTCAAGGTTCGGCACAGGACGCCACGTAAGGAAGGCGAAAGTTAGCATTATTTTGCGATACAGCTGGCGTTGGCTAGGTACGACGAAAGCTCGGCAAACGAGAGCGCATGACGCCATATCGACCGCACTGTCCAGCTTGCAAACGATAGCCTCGAGTAGTTCAGGTGGAAGGTCGATCTGGGTCGCCATCGTGGTCAACTGTCAAGCAGGGTGATGACATAAGCGCCGGAAGGTGAAAGTAAAAACACCTGGATTCTTGACGTATATAAGTAATAGTCCTATACAAATTTCTCTACAAGTTTACATTTCAGTTGTCCTCCGCTAGTTAGTAGGACACGGTCTTCCGCCAGTGTCACAATGGTCGGGTACTCCCTGGCCCGCCGGACCCGCCCAAACACATCCTGGCTGGAGACAGTTGGTGGGGAAGATCTGCGAGGACGCGGTGATAGTGCAGCCCGCTCCACATGTCGCACTTGAGGTGGCGCTCGACCGCGACGACGAGCTCGACGGTGGAGAGGTAACCACGCTTGAGCTTGCGGAGGAGGATCGGCTAGCGCTGGTGCTACTACTTGCAGAGGAGGATTTTGTCGCGCTGGCGCTAGAGCTGCTCGAGCCTGTGCCTCCGCCGCCCGGGCCGACAGCAAAGTTACCAACGTATGCATTATAATCTGTACAGGGTTTTCGTGAGTGGCAGTTCTAAGAAACGGGAAACCACTCACTATACACCCCGGTACACGTATTCTTGACGTCCAATCCACCAGTTCCGCTGGCGACCTGGACTCCGTTGCGCGAGATCGAGAATTTCTGAGAGCCGATGCCCATGTTGACGCTGCTGGTCGTGACGCCGGCGGGGACATTGATTGTAACCGGTGCGAAAGAGCCGGAGGTAACAGTGAGGGTCGCAGGGGACTTGAGAAGGGTGGTGATGAAGATGCTATCGGAGAAGAAGTTGACGCCGTTGGGTACGCCGAGGGTGTCACCCGAACAAGGAGTGTTCTAGGTTGGGGGTTAGAAAGACAATAGAATGACGGGATGATATGAAAGCAACGCACCTTGGGGAAGCCACGATACCAGTACACAACTTGCTCGTCGGTGATAACGGCATCAGAGGCACCGGACTTGTATGCGGCAATGTATGCTTTCATGATTATTCGCCATCCAGCATGTGGGTAACCAGTTGCCCAGGCGGAAGAACCATCGTCTGAATGTGTAGGCTCAGAGTCGGAAATATAGTGACTCTCGCCAAAGTCATTCCATGTAATGATCTTCACAAATCGTCATTCAAAAAGAACATGAGATGCGAAATACGAACCTCAACAAGCGGAGGCTGGAGCGAAAGCACTTGGGGCCAGCGATCGGTAATCAGTGTGTCGCCGTCAAAGATCCAGTTTTTGCTGGGGAAATGGGTACTGAACCACGGCGAGACGGGCATCTTTCAAGATTGTATCAGAAGCGTTGTCAGCATATAAGTAGTCTTACGCACCATGTAGATCTGTCCCTTTCCCGCCTGAGCGAAGTTGTTGATGAATCTCAGATCGAATTTCGTGGTCATCGGTCCTGCAACGGGGGTATTTCCAACCTCCTCCGGCCAGCCATACCAACTGAACGCGCCGTCGAACGTGTTTGTGCTCAAGATCTGGCCCGGGTCTTGGATATTTGGGATGGCAAAGACATTCGCCGTCCCCCGTACAGAGTTCCAGTCGAATGTGTCGCCAACAAATGTGCTGACAATGGGTCGGCCATTGTATAATGCCTGCGAGGGCAGGCTCGAGTAGTTGCGCAGGACCTCGAGGATGGTGGAAAGGTCACCGCTAGACCAGTAGGCGAAGTCGAAGGACGGAAAGACGGTAAAACCGCCGGGAATTTGTTGAGCAGCATTGTAGGCGTTCGCGAGTTGTTTCGGAGTGTAGCTATCGACGCGGGGAGGAGCACAGTTAAGCGCGAAGCCATCGATGCCGATGGATTTGGCGGTCGTCATTTCGGTTATCCAGTCCGACAAGCTGAAGTTCTCGACGATGCCAACCTGGACCAGGATTAGCACGGAGAAAGAAAAGCGATGGAGACTGACCATGAAGTGGGCATAGACAGCCTTGGGACTGTTGGATTGCCTAGACACCGGGTTGCCAGAGGCAAGGTGTAGTGCGGAAAAGAGCAGCGCGAGCGTTGCAGAGCCCACCATCTTCACGAGTGTTTTTTGAAAGTGGGTGGGACTTGAGGAAAAGGGCGAAAGCGAAGTGCCCGTAATAAAAAGGCCACACCCAGCCTCCCATCGTCACTCGCTCTGGTCATTTCGCAACCGAAGAGCGTCTTTTGGATCGCAACAAAGCAGCTGGCCGGCTCACGCGGGCCAGCCATCGCAGATGAGCCATATCCAGGTATCACCGGGGCGCCCAAAGCGGCGAAACGCGTTCAGTTTTGGTTCGCCCGTTGCAGTCAGGTGCGTGAATCACGCGATCCAGGACAGAATCATGTAGAGAGGGATCTGATATCGAAGGGGCCGTCGCGTCAGAAAGCCTCGGAATGCATCGCAGCAACTGTGCATTGGAGCTTCGGGAGGCGGTGGTTGGCTCTAGCGCTCCCGGAACGACCGAGTTCGAATTAACATCTTAACTTTTGTGGCCATGGTGAGAGTTAAGAAGGAAGCTGAGTCAGTGATGGCGAATTAGTGATGCGGCACGTCATTGAGTCACATCATCTAAGTCACACGGCACGTCACGAAGTGACATTCCCTCTTTTGGACATGATATGATTGAAGGTAAGCCGACAAGCGGCGTACTATAGCACAAATACAAACTGACTCCTGAGAGGTTTTGGAGAAGAAGCTTAAGGCTCCAAGCCCACTTGTTTACTAATATTCCAAAAAAAATGAGGCTTGGACAGCCCATCAGTGTTACATGGGTCGTGACAATCATTCTCATCTCTTGACGGTACATTAGCACAAACCTAAATCAGTTTGTGAACATAAGTAAGCACCTTGGCCAACACCGTGACTGGCAAATAATGAATAATGGATAAATTAAATTCCGATGCACTTGTAACAGCATGGTAATAGTGTTTGTGGTCCCAAAAGAGTAACAAAAAATCAGCCAAAGAGGAGGGAACACTGGAAGAAAGAGAAACTCACTGTTTCTACCCACAAATTACACTAGCTGTTATGGAAAATTAAGTTCATAAGTAGCTTATGGCAGCTCAAGTTCTCACCTAGAGGAATATCAAATTTATCAAGAGGGAAGAGAGGGAGACAAGAAAAAAAACCCCTAGGGACACTAGAGCATTCATTGTACACACAATGCACACTATAGCAATTTAATTGATTCGGTGCCCAAGATAGGTCACACCGGGTTTCAGCCAAAAAAAAAGGGGTCCTTGAGCAGAAGTTATATATAAGAAATAGTGGACCAAAACAATAACATTTTTTGCTGCTTTGATAACATGCAATAAAAGTTGCAAAAATTGTATCTGATTTACAAGAAATCATGTTCTGTATTAAGGTATCAAATATAGCATATATTGTGACTATACCCCCTTCCTGACCATGTTTTGTAGACAATAATAAGTGCACCTCATTCAAGCCTAAATATTCATCAAAAAATAGTATCACATTATTATCATTACCCCAATTTATCATGTATAAGGGAATTTGTCATATACTTATAATGGCAATTTGTCACTTATTTCAAACATATCAGGTACACTTCGGTGCTGTCCCTGATTTTTGATATATATGGTCTTATATCTTGTGGCATATTTGGCGCATTTATTTACTACAAATTGTAGCCATAAAATTGTCAGCTTATATTGGCTTTGAGTTGAGTCCAATCTGATAACTTGATATATACCCATATTTCATACAAATCAAGTCTGGAAAGCTCCTGATTATATAAGTAATAATATATGTCATTTACTTGTTAACAGCAAATGGTTATGTACAAGGGATAATCTATTTTATCAGGGGGGGGATCTAAACATTAATAAAATCTCCTATTTAAGTCCAGTACACCTATATACCATGCTACTAACAAGATAATAATATGACACAAGGTGAGAATAGAAAATGTGAACCTCTTGTGTTCTGATTTGTGTTTTGTTTTGTTCTGGTTTCCTAATATATTCATCACAGATTTGTATGTTTCCATTCTGGCTCAGCAGATAGATATGCAAATTTGCCAGTCTGTGCTTATTGCGATCATTTTTGCATCAATCCCATAGTAAAACTACTTCCCAGTCATACAGATAAAAGGACATAAGAATAATCATCAAAGGTAAAAAAAAAAGCAGCCGAATCACGCCGTGACGAGCCGCACAACACCCTCCGGATCTCCCGGCGCGCGAGTCAGCCCGCGGAACACGGTCCTGCCCAGCAAAAAGTCGACTTTCTTGACGCCTCGGCTCCGGATGCTCATCTCGACATCCCTCAGCGCGTGTATGGGCGCCCCGCTGCGCGCCGCCTCGGTGTGGCAGCGCGCAGCATATGCGCGTGTGACGGCCTGCTCCGCGGTACTGTCGAGGGTGGCCCAGTCGGCATGCGAAATGCGACCATGGAGTGCGCGGTGAAGTGCGATGAGGATGTCTGCAAGGGTGATGCTCGTCGGCATGGGCGGGGCGTACGGGCCGGGGTTGGCCGGGGGTGGGGGGCAGAGTCACGTCGACTGGCCAGAAGGGCAGTTGTGCGTGAATGATGCGCAGGGCGGCACGGGGCGGGTGAAACGCGGGAAGAGCTAGTTCGGCGGAGGGTACGGGCATGCTCTGCGCGGGGTTCGCGGCACGTCGGAGGGGCACGAACGCGCCGAGTGCAAGGTCGAAGTGGAAGTCAGGTGACGGCGCATCGCCATTTAGGAATGGGTGGATCTGTTGTGGGATGGCCGGGGCGTATTGTGCCCATGGCGGGATGCTGGCGGCCCCATGTGAATTAGCGCGGCGGTGGCCATGACCAGCATACGAGTTGGCAGTGAGGAAGGCAGGTGGCTGGGCGGGTGCGAGGAAGGGAGAGCCATGTGGCTGGGCTGGTGCGGTCCACGACTGCGTTCTCTGTCTAACATATCCTGCTGGTGCTGGCTGGTATACGCCTGTTGACTGGTCTGGCCAGAGCACAGAACTAGGGTTGAATGCCCCGCTTGGTGTTCCCGGCGCAGGCTCCGCGGGGGGCGGCGCAAACGGCGAGGGAGGGTAAAGCAGCGGTGAAGGAGGAAGGAATGGCGTCTGCGGGCCTTGCGGTGTGGTTGGCGGGGGATATGGATATGGCGGGTAAGGGTGGTATGGGTAAGCAAAGGCGGGGTAGGCCGGCGACGATGAGGACGTGCCAGCCTCGGGGACATACACGAACGGCGCCGACATCGTGGTGGTCAAGAGCAAGAGACAGAAATTTGTGAGTCTTTGCATGAATCATCAGCCAATAAAGGGGGCAAGCTCATCGATGTTGTGGGGGGAGGCAAGAGACGACACGTAGCTTTACCCACGTTGCACAGCCATTTGGCAGTGTGGTTCTCACGTGTATCCCGCAAGTCGGACGGGTGTCGCGGCCCGCCATAGGCGGCCCGCACGTGGCCCCCGCGAAGCTTCTTTCCTTCGCCGCCACATACAAGGCGTCCGCTGGTCCCAAAACAACTCGCTCGCCTCGAGTTTAACCACTGGCCATTCCTGTTATCACTGGGTTCGACATTCACGGTACTCCCCCTTTTTTTGTTGTTCCGCCCGCTGACCCTGGCGACAGACGTGCGCTTCCCGACGTCGCTCGCGGGCGACGGCACGGACGCGATGAACACGGACTGCGACTACTCCTCGGCATATGTCACGCTCCTCACCGACTCCGCCCTGGTGGGCCATGGGATGACGTTCACCATCGGTCGCGGGAACGACATCGTGTGTGCTGCATTGGCGCGGTCGCGCAGCCTGCCTGGTGGGCAAGGAGAGCGAGGAGTTATTCAAGGATATGGGGAACACATGGGAATACATAATGGCGGACCCGCAGCTGCGCTGGTGTGTCCCATTCTGTTTTTACTTCTGGGTAAGCTGACGACAACCCTCAGGATGGGCCCAGAGGAGGGTGTGATTCATATTGCGTCGGGCGCTCGCGCTGTGGGACGTGTATGCGCGGGCAGGAGATAAGCCATTGTGGGACTTCAAGATTGTGGTGGACTTCAAGTTCACCCGAGAAGAGCTCGTTAGCGCGGCTGCGTGTGGCGGACGCCATTACCAAGGAGGAGGCGCTCGCGAGGCTCGAAGCGGGTAAAAAAAGAGACTCAGGGAGGCAATTGTTAGGGAGCAAGGGTGAGTCTATTGTGATTTTACCTCGCATATGTGACCTCCGCCGGCTGGTTAGGTTCGCCTTCCCTCAGGCTCTTCCCCGCTCACGATACTGACGCTGTTCTCAGGATACACCGACGAGAAAGTTGTGCGACTGGTGAAAGAGGCCCTCTCAGGGCTTTAACCATTGCAAGATGAAGGTCGGGGCCGACCCAGCTGACGACCTTCGCCGCGGAAAACTCATCCGCTCGCTCATCGACAACCCCACGCCGCTGCCTCCAAACCACGCGCCGTCACCGCCAGAGAGCATCGCTGGGAAGAATGCTGGGCCGACCGGCGCGGTGCTCATAATCGACGCGAACCAGATCTGGGACCTGGACCGCAACGTGCTGAGTACACCACGAGCACTTTGCCAATCTTAACAACATTGATATCACACATACAACACAGATATGATAAGTATTATAAAGACTGGTGCTCAGGGAAGATGGTCCATGTAGTTCACCCTGTCTTGTGCTTTCCGTTTCCCAAATGATAATTTCTCTGTCGCCATCCCAGGGAAAGCACCCGTCAAAGCTTCTGTCATAAATGTCATAAAACCGTCGAAGACATGCGCGAAATGAGACCCCGGTGAGTCGTCGCAGACCGCAAACGGGTCTATATAGCCTAGAATACACTCGATCATGTGGATATTGACCGCCGTGTATTGCCCGTCGTGCACTGCGCAGATCTTGAGTTCTGGCGGCGAGCACCAGTCCGGTCTCGGGGTCCGAACATCAAACGCAAAAGACGCTGGCACAAGAACACGGAGTGTGAGGCGTTTAAGCTTTGGGGTAGGGAGTCCCCCGAGGGCACTGACAATATATTCTGGCAATGTGTACTGTTCGTCGGCAGTACTAGTAGTACCTCGAACAAAAGCCAAAGTCAGGCAGGTGAGTTCTGGGAGCATAGGGAGATCTAATGACTCTATCAATGCAACACAGTCAAGTGTGAGAGTCTGTAGTCGATGCAATAGGCCCGAAAAGCCTGTACCAGCAAGGCCGACACGGAATGCAGAAAGAGGTGTTGACAGACGAGTGAGGTGCGGCAGGTCGAAGAGGAATCGATAGGATCGGGAAATTGCGGTGCTAGTAAGTCCAGCTGGAATCATCAGTTCTTCCAACAGCGAGTGCTGCCATACTAGTAGGTCGTTGGTTTGCGCAAATGTGTCGTCAGGGGATAAAATTCCAGTAATGTGGATCAAGGACAAGAGCTTAACGCTATGGGCAATCTGCAGAACGATGTCGCGCGGGAGTGCGGCCACCCGGAGAATATGGCACCTTTGCACCGATGAAGAGGATGAAAAAACATTGCTGAATGCATTGACAATGACTGGGCTGAGTTTATCCCATTGTGATCCATGGAAATCCACTGCGAGCCGTTCGACGATGCAAGGCCCGGGCCCGCGGAAGATGCAGTCGAGTAGGTTGCCCATCGCCTGCTGTCCTTCCGCCGACGCTGGGATATCGATGCTGAGATCACGTATATACGTCCCAATGTGCGGAAACCGTTGCAACAGTGCCAGGCGACGCTCAAGGTTCGGCACAGGACGCCACGTAAGGAAGGCGAAAGTTAGCATTATTTTGCGATACAGCTGGCGTTGGCTAGGTACGACGAAAGCTCGGCAAACGAGAGCGCATGACGCCATATCGACCGCACTGTCCAGCTTGCAAACGATAGCCTCGAGTAGTTCAGGTGGAAGGTCGATCTGGGTCGCCATCGTGGTCAACTGTCAAGCAGGGTGATGACATAAGCGCCGGAAGGTGAAAGTAAAAACACCTGGATTCTTGACGTATATAAGTAATAGTCCTATACAAATTTCTCTACAAGTTTACATTTCAGTTGTCCTCCGCTAGTTAGTAGGACACGGTCTTCCGCCAGTGTCACAATGGTCGGGTACTCCCTGGCCCGCCGGACCCGCCCAAACACATCCTGGCTGGAGACAGTTGGTGGGGAAGATCTGCGAGGACGCGGTGATAGTGCAGCCCGCTCCACATGTCGCACTTGAGGTGGCGCTCGACCGCGACGACGAGCTCGACGGTGGAGAGGTAACCACGCTTGAGCTTGCGGAGGAGGATCGGCTAGCGCTGGTGCTACTACTTGCAGAGGAGGATTTTGTCGCGCTGGCGCTAGAGCTGCTCGAGCCTGTGCCTCCGCCGCCCGGGCCGACAGCAAAGTTACCAACGTATGCATTATAATCTGTACAGGGTTTTCGTGAGTGGCAGTTCTAAGAAACGGGAAACCACTCACTATACACCCCGGTACACGTATTCTTGACGTCCAATCCACCAGTTCCGCTGGCGACCTGGACTCCGTTGCGCGAGATCGAGAATTTCTGAGAGCCGATGCCCATGTTGACGCTGCTGGTCGTGACGCCGGCGGGGACATTGATTGTAACCGGTGCGAAAGAGCCGGAGGTAACAGTGAGGGTCGCAGGGGACTTGAGAAGGGTGGTGATGAAGATGCTATCGGAGAAGAAGTTGACGCCGTTGGGTACGCCGAGGGTGTCACCCGAACAAGGAGTGTTCTAGGTTGGGGGGTTAGAAAGACAATAGAATGACGGGATGATATGAAAGCAACGCACCTTGGGGAAGCCACGATACCAGTACACAACTTGCTCGTCGGTGATAACGGCATCAGAGGCACCGGACTTGTATGCGGCAATGTATGCTTTCATGATTATTCGCCATCCAGCATGTGGGTAACCAGTTGCCCAGGCGGAAGAACCATCGTCTGAATGTGTAGGCTCAGAGTCGGAAATATAGTGACTCTCGCCAAAGTCATTCCATGTAATGATCTTCACAAATCGTCATTCAAAAAGAACATGAGATGCGAAATACGAACCTCAACAAGCGGAGGCTGGAGCGAAAGCACTTGGGGCCAGCGATCGGTAATCAGTGTGTCGCCGTCAAAGATCCAGTTTTTGCTGGGGAAATGGGTACTGAACCACGGCGAGACGGGCATCTTTCAAGATTGTATCAGAAGCGTTGTCAGCATATAAGTAGTCTTACGCACCATGTAGATCTGTCCCTTTCCCGCCTGAGCGAAGTTGTTGATGAATCTCAGATCGAATTTCGTGGTCATCGGTCCTGCAACGGGGGTATTTCCAACCTCCTCCGGCCAGCCATACCAACTGAACGCGCCGTCGAACGTGTTTGTGCTCAAGATCTGGCCCGGGTCTTGGATATTTGGGATGGCAAAGACATTCGCCGTCCCCCGTACAGAGTTCCAGTCGAATGTGTCGCCAACAAATGTGCTGACAATGGGTCGGCCATTGTATAATGCCTGCGAGGGCAGGCTCGAGTAGTTGCGCAGGACCTCGAGGATGGTGGAAAGGTCACCGCTAGACCAGTAGGCGAAGTCGAAGGACGGAAAGACGGTAAAACCGCCGGGAATTTGTTGAGCAGCATTGTAGGCGTTCGCGAGTTGTTTCGGAGTGTAGCTATCGACGCGGGGAGGAGCACAGTTAAGCGCGAAGCCATCGATGCCGATGGATTTGGCGGTCGTCATTTCGGTTATCCAGTCCGACAAGCTGAAGTTCTCGACGATGCCAACCTGGACCAGGATTAGCACGGAGAAAGAAAAGCGATGGAGACTGACCATGAAGTGGGCATAGACAGCCTTGGGACTGTTGGATTGCCTAGACACCGGGTTGCCAGAGGCAAGGTGTAGTGCGGAAAAGAGCAGCGCGAGCGTTGCAGAGCCCACCATCTTCACGAGTGTTTTTTGAAAGTGGGTGGGACTTGAGGAAAAGGGCGAAAGCGAAGTGCCCGTAATAAAAAGGCCACACCCAGCCTCCCATCGTCACTCGCTCTGGTCATTTCGCAACCGAAGAGCGTCTTTTGGATCGCAACAAAGCAGCTGGCCGGCTCACGCGGGCCAGCCATCGCAGATGAGCCATATCCAGGTATCACCGGGGCGCCCAAAGCGGCGAAACGCGTTCAGTTTTGGTTCGCCCGTTGCAGTCAGGTGCGTGAATCACGCGATCCAGGACAGAATCATGTAGAGAGGGATCTGATATCGAAGGGGCCGTCGCGTCAGAAAGCCTCGGAATGCATCGCAGCAACTGTGCATTGGAGCTTCGGGAGGCGGTGGTTGGCTCTAGCGCTCCCGGAACGACCGAGTTCGAATTAACATCTTAACTTTTGTGGCCATGGTGAGAGTTAAGAAGGAAGCTGAGTCAGTGATGGCGAATTAGTGATGCGGCACGTCATTGAGTCACATCATCTAAGTCACACGGCACGTCACGAAGTGACATTCCCTCTTTTGGACATGATATGATTGAAGGTAAGCCGACAAGCGGCGTACTATAGCACAAATACAAACTGACTCCTGAGAGGTTTTGGAGAAGAAGCTTAAGGCTCCAAGCCCACTTGTTTACTAATATTCCAAAAAAAATGAGGCTTGGACAGCCCATCAGTGTTACATGGGTCGTGACAATCATTCTCATCTCTTGACGGTACATTAGCACAAACCTAAATCAGTTTGTGAACATAAGTAAGCACCTTGGCCAACACCGTGACTGGCAAATAATGAATAATGGATAAATTAAATTCCGATGCACTTGTAACAGCATGGTAATAGTGTTTGTGGTCCCAAAAGAGTAACAAAAAATCAGCCAAAGAGGAGGGAACACTGGAAGAAAGAGAAACTCACTGTTTCTACCCACAAATTACACTAGCTGTTATGGAAAATTAAGTTCATAAGTAGCTTATGGCAGCTCAAGTTCTCACCTAGAGGAATATCAAATTTATCAAGAGGGAAGAGAGGGAGACAAGAAAAAAAACCTAGGGACACTAGAGCATTCATTGTACACACAATGCACACTATAGCAATTTAATTGATTCGGTGCCCAAGATAGGTCACACCGGGTTTCAGCCAAAAAAAAATGGTCCTTGAGCAGAAGTTATATATAAGAAATAGTGGACCAAAACAATAACATTTTTTGCTGCTTTGATAACATGCAATAAAAGTTGCAAAAATTGTATCTGATTTACAAGAAATCATGTTCTGTATTAAGGTATCAAATATAGCATATATTGTGACTATACCCCCTTCCTGACCATGTTTTGTAGACAATAATAAGTGCACCTCATTCAAGCCTAAATATTCATCAAAAAATAGTATCACATTATTATCATTACCCCAATTTATCATGTATAAGGGAATTTGTCATATACTTATAATGGCAATTTGTCACTTATTTCAAACATATCAGGTACACTTCGGTGCTGTCCCTGATTTTTGATATATATGGTCTTATATCTTGTGGCATATTTGGCGCATTTATTTACTACAAATTGTAGCCATAAAATTGTCAGCTTATATTGGCTTTGAGTTGAGTCCAATCTGATAACTTGATATATACCCATATTTCATACAAATCAAGTCTGGAAAGCTCCTGATTATATAAGTAATAATATATGTCATTTACTTGTTAACAGCAAATGGTTATGTACAAGGGATAATCTATTTTATCAGGGGGGGGATCTAAACATTAATAAAATCTCCTATTTAAGTCCAGTACACCTATATACCATGCTACTAACAAGATAATAATATGACACAAGGTGAGAATAGAAAATGTGAACCTCTTGTGTTCTGATTTGTGTTTTGTTTTGTTCTGGTTTCCTAATATATTCATCACAGATTTGTATGTTTCCATTCTGGCTCAGCAGATAGATATGCAAATTTGCCAGTCTGTGCTTATTGCGATCATTTTTGCATCAATCCCATAGTAAAACTACTTCCCAGTCATACAGATAAAAGGACATAAGAATAATCATCAAAGGTAAAAAAAAAAGCAGCCGAATCACGCCGTGACGAGCCGCACAACACCCTCCGGATCTCCCGGCGCGCGAGTCAGCCCGCGGAACACGGTCCTGCCCAGCAAAAAGTCGACTTTCTTGACGCCTCGGCTCCGGATGCTCATCTCGACATCCCTCAGCGCGTGTATGGGCGCCCCGCTGCGCGCCGCCTCGGTGGCAGCGCGCAGCATATGCGCGTGTGACGGCCTGCTCCGCGGTACTGTCGAGGGTGGCCCAGTCGGCATGCGAAATGCGACCATGGAGTGCGCGGTGAAGTGCGATGAGGATGTCTGCAAGGGTGATGCTCGTCGGCATGGGCGGGGCGTACGGGCCGGGGTTGGCCGGGGGTGGGGGCAGAGTCACGTCGACTGGCCAGAAGGGCAGTTGTGCGTGAATGATGCGCAGGGCGGCACGGGGCGGGTGAAACGCGGGAAGAGCTAGTTCGGCGGAGGGTACGGGCATGCTCTGCGCGGGGTTCGCGGCACGTCGGAGGGGCACGAACGCGCCGAGTGCAAGGTCGAAGTGGAAGTCAGGTGACGGCGCATCGCCATTTAGGAATGGGTGGATCTGTTGTGGGATGGCCGGGGCGTATTGTGCCCATGGCGGGATGCTGGCGGCCCCATGTGAATTAGCGCGGCGGTGGCCATGACCAGCATACGAGTTGGCAGTGAGGAAGGCAGGTGGCTGGGCGGGTGCGAGGAAGGGAGAGCCATGTGGCTGGGCTGGTGCGGTCCACGACTGCGTTCTCTGTCTAACATATCCTGCTGGTGCTGGCTGGTATACGCCTGTTGACTGGTCTGGCCAGAGCACAGAACTAGGGTTGAATGCCCCGCTTGGTGTTCCCGGCGCAGGCTCCGCGGGGGGCGGCGCAAACGGCGAGGGAGGGTAAAGCAGCGGTGAAGGAGGAAGGAATGGCGTCTGCGGGCCTTGCGGTGTGGTTGGCGGGGGATATGGATATGGCGGGTAAGGGTGGTATGGGTAAGCAAAGGCGGGGTAGGCCGGCGACGATGAGGACGTGCCAGCCTCGGGGACATACACGAACGGCGCCGACATCGTGGTGGTCAAGAGCAAGAGACAGAAATTTGTGAGTCTTTGCATGAATCATCAGCCAATAAAGCCATTTTCGGCGCCCTGCCACGCACCACTGCCCGCCAGCGCCTCACTCTTCCCCCGCTCCCAGGCTGCTATCTGCTCGAGCCTATCGTCCGTTGGCTTGACGCTGGCAGTTCGTTTCCCTCCTCGCCATGCGTCTGGCCCCCAGGCCCCCGGGCCCCTCGAAACGACTGTATTCTCGTCCAGATAGGCGCCCGCGGGACGCGTGTCACGAAAATCTTTGCACTGTAAGCGCCGACTTCATCGGTCATCGTTGGGCGGCGATGAAAGGCATCGGGTACACGCTGCGTGTGTGCCCAGTCAAGGCGCTTCAACAGAGCGGGCAAACGAAGATGAGCGAAAGAGAGAGAAGCAACCAAGAAGGGCTGCTTCTCTAGCCAAGAGACTGCCGTCGACTGACACAGCCGCCCGACAGCCTGCGAAGCTGATACTGTCACATCGGAATTTTGTCCGGATTCGGAGGATCGGAGACGCTCGATGACCATCGAACTAGCGCCGTCGCGTGCCCATTCGATGTGTTCCCAGCGTTCAAATCTGTGCCCTCACCAGTCTAGCGCACATCCACTGGCACTGGCAAACCATCTTCGAGCCATCCTCACCGTACGCCGGATACTAGTAAAATAAACCCACACAGCAGTCTAAGCACTCTGTCTAAGCAAGCTTGGCGGTCAGGCTATAAAACACCACGTATCAAAATCAGTAGGCACGGGTGTGCTGCGATCTGCATTCCGGGTGGCTTTTGGCGCTGAATGTAATGATTGCTGGCGGAGCTCAGGCGGGCCTGCAACCAGAGTTCATTCCTGAGTGCTATGCGCAACTGCGACCTAAGTATCATTATATCATATCTCATATCAAGTTTGAAAGAAGACGCAAAGATCGGACCCGCGGGAAGGTTTGAAGCCATGCGGCAGACCCACTGGCCCTGACATGGGAACCAGCGGTGCATTGCTCCTTTACCTCCCACTATGGGGCCAACTTAGGTGGGAATACCACCATTCATAGGAGGGTTTTCCTCTTTTCACCTATTTTAGGCTGGTTTTAGGTGGTTTGTATAGAGCTCATTTCTGTGAAGATTACATGATAATTTTCTTCAACCTAAAATTTAGGTGGTTATTTATTTCCAAAAAAGTCAATCAACCTAAATAGGCTGATTTGCCACCTATTTAGGTTGAAGAAAATATATATCTAATAAACCCTATTTGTTATAGTCATATATCATATTGTTGACCTACTAGTTTGTCTTCCTGAGTACTGCCAGTAAAGTGCCCTCAAAGAGCTCCATTTAAAACCTACCTAAGTAGGTGTGATTTCCACCTATACTTGACAGTATGTTGACATAGTTAATAGTACCAGTAGTAGCTTATATACTTGTAATTCTATGGCTTACTCTAACACATAGAATACAAATTATAACTTGTAGTAAGATACAATGTCAATGTAATGCTATAGCTTGAATAATATATATAGTATCATAGCTTAGTGGTTTAGCACAGTTTTGGAAATTAATGTACTAAGTCTGTCTGTTCAAGTCCCCTACCTGCCATATTTCAATTATTATAAAGACTGATAGAGTACATATATAATGACAACAATACTATATAAGTAGCCTTACAACAATCAGTAAAATACACTAGTAGTTACTGGTATACTTTATTTTCAGTACTGATACTTGAAAACAACCTAAGAATCTACCTATTCCTCTGGGTGTAAAGCTTAGGTAGAAAGTGGCCTATTTAGGTGGGTTTTCCACTACCCCCATAGGTTGATTTACCACCCTAGAAAACAACCTAT